TTTCGTAATGACTATTTTAAATGAATTACTCGTTTGTTATTTTAAAATATGTGAATGTATAAATATTTAATTAAATCAAACTATAATATATAGCAGGTATAACAAAGTACAAAGAAAAAGAATCAAGGTTAGCTGTTTAAATTATCATTTCATTCATTTGTTGTTAAACATTAGATATATATAATTCTTCATTTTCAGTCTTTAAAGCTATTTATTTATGTATAGTTCTAATTTATTTTTTATTTTAGAATGTTTGGTACGTAAATTATATATTTTTTTCTTTAAAATGACTGCTTGATGTTATTTGTTCTCTCAATACTTTATCGGCATCTGTTTTTATTAGACTATATTATTTTGACCTTGACTTACATAATTCGGCCTCATTGTTTATCAAATTGTACGTAAATAAAATTAATTCCGTCTAGTATTCAAACACAATGTTATTAGTAGAAAGTAATCAAAAATATCACTTCGTTATGTTTAAAAAATTGGGTGTAAGAACATTAATGAGTGGTTTTGCTACTCAACGTTAAGGCTTCTCATTTTATTTTCCCTATTATTCTATGTGAATACGTGTAAACAAGGTGCGCGCAATAAAACTATTGTATTAGTTTCTAATAAAGCAATTTATATTTTTTTTTCCTACAGTGATAGAAGAGAACAAGAGCAACAGGCGATGCTGGAAAAGCAGCAGAAGGAAAAAGAAAGGGAACGGATAGAACGTGAACGCGAAAGAGAACGAGAAAGGGAGAGGGAAAGAGAAAAACAAGAAAGAGAAGAAAAAGAAAGAAGAGAACAAGAGAATGCCGCATCGAAGCTTGTTACGAGACATTTCGAGGAATCTCTTAGATTGGCTAACCAAAAGGTACCTTTCATTCACGAAAATTTATTTTAAAAGTAGTCAATATTTACTAGTATTGTGTTGATAATACTTGTTGAATAAGAAACAACATTTGGAATATGTTGACATGTCAGTAATGTGTAAAATGTTGTTTTAGCGCGAGCGGAGCATGTCGCAGCATGGGACCACGTGGCCAATGCTGAACAGCCTGACGGCGCGGGGCGTGCCGCCAGGTCCTCCTGGCGGCGAGCACGAGCGGCTGCGGCCCGACGCGCGGTACTACGCTCCCGCGCCCGAGTACAGTCCGCATGGCCCTCGACACGCCATGTCCAAGCCGGACAAGTCCCACCCCGGACTGCCTAAGGGAGAGCCCAACTTCGCTCCCTACAACTACCCCCCGTATCGGGGTTACGAGAAGCTCAAAGACCAGCACCTCCCGGCGCCGCCGCCACTAGTCCCCGAAAAGAACTCTGTGATAGTGAAACACGAACCTAAACAAATTCATCTCGAACAGAAACATCCTTATCCGAGTAAACCGCGAAGTGAACCGTCCCATTACCTGCAGCGACCGCATCGGACGGGCTTGTCGCCGCACGCGCCACCGCATCCGCACCAACATCCTGCGTTGCAGACCTCGCCGCACGCTGCCTTGCCCGCTCAAGATAAGTCCCGAAGGATGTATCAGCCCCCGCAGCGTTCGCCCGCCGCTTATTACCAGACGGCGCCGGTCAAGCCGAAGGCGTCCAGTCCGGCGTCGTTGCATATGTACGCCAAGCAGGGCAACTCGCCCAGCCCGGCGCACTACACCGTCGCTGTGGAGCCGCCTCTGCTGCAGATGACCAAGGCAGAACCACCGCCCGTGCCGTATCCCCCGCCGTCGGCGTACTCGCCGGCGTCGGGCAACCGCCCTCCGCCGCACGCCTACTCCAGAAGTACTCCGGAGCCTCGAGCGCCGCCAAGAGCTCACGGTGACCTTGCCACGCCCGCTATGTCGGCGTGTCAAACGCAACCATTAGATCTGGGCGTTGCTCGCGACGATCCCGACAGATTATCTCCTCGGCGCCGCTACCCGTTCGAGCCGGCAGACGCGGACGCCAAACGGCGGCGAATGGATGAACTGCCAGCGCCCGAGCCGCTCATCGCCGCGGCCGCAAGCGTGGGTCGAACACCTCTAGGGTCAGAGCCGGCGCCGCAAGCCCCCGGCCCGCCTTGCGACGTTAGAGTACCTTCCGCCGACGGCAGCGTAGAAACACCGGAGAAAGCCGCCGGTGCGTCGCCGGCGCCGCAAATAACACCCGCCGCTAGTCCCGCTCCTCCTACGCCCGTCCCGCCGCTATCGGTGTCGCCCCCGATGACCGCTCCCACGCCGCCCGCTCCCCCGGCCACACCACCAGTCACCCCCTTCGGCGATAACGAAACGCCCGCAAAAGTTGCATCGCCAAATCCACGCGACAGCTCAGCCCCTGTCAGACATTTAGGCAAAAAGGCTTGGCTACAACGACATGAAACTGCACCCATAGGCGAGGGTGACTGTTCCGGGGGAGGTGGCACCTGCATCACCCTGCCGATGACTATCAACCGCGTCTCGGAGCCGGACGACTCGAGTTCTAATATAGTGGTGCCCATCGCCGCCAAGTCAATACAGCGCGGGGCGCGTAAAACCTCTAAGCCGCGGAAACCTAAGGAGAGCAACGGTCGAGTGGACGACGACGAGGAAGACAGCTCCAGTTCGGATCGCGAGTCGAACGCGCCGCCTAAGAGAAAGCCACCCAAGGCGAAACGGAAAAAAGGGAGTCTACCGCGGAAAGTCGGCGACGAACCAAAAAAAAAGAAAGCGTCTGAAAGCGGGAGCGAAAGCGACAAAGAAAGCGATGACAAAGACTCCGATTCCGGTGGCAGCGGGAGTGGCAGCGGAAGCAATTCCAGTAAACGCGGAGGAGGCAGCCGGGCCAGGGGGCGGCGGTCGAGGGGCGGGGGCCGGGGAGGCAGACGGAAAGACGATTCCCGCCGCACGCCGTCCTCCACTCTGCGACCGAGCAGCGAGTCCTTCTTGCAGAACGGGCCATGCTTCGAGGTGGCGCCGCGGCTGGCCAAATGCCGCGAGTGCCGCTGGTCGCCAGCGCAGCGCGACAAGGATATGCCCAATATATTTTGCCGGTTCTACGCTTTCCGAAGACTGAAATACGCCAAGAATAGACAACTTGCCATTGCCGGCTTCTCTGACCCTTATAAGGATGCCGAAGAGGTAAATATTGTTTAAATGACTAATTTGTAGTTAAGGGATCGTATTAAGCAACAAAATTCGAGTTTTAAAACAGGTCAGATTTTTTAAATGCATCTGTTTCAGCGATTACAAGTTTTATTTTTGTTTTGCAGGAGGACAGAAAGCTTTGGTTATCTTCGTCGGCCGGCGCCGCAGAATTAGACATAGAAATGAGCTGCTTCTTGTTGCGAGAGATCGGAGACCAGTTCTGTGAGCTGCTGCAGCAGGAGAAGGAGGCGGAGTCACATCATCTTAATGAAGGTAAAACTTCTACCACGCTCACACGCTACAATACTCGTTGATTTTATCTTATCGAAATTATTTTTTTGCATTATACAGTTACAATGTAGTAAAGGAAACATTTGACAATTTTCTAAAATAAAAAAGAAAAACAGTATTATATTGTAATAAATAATATTTATATGTGTTGTTGTTACAGACAAGACGATAGCGTGGAAGCGCGTGGTACAGGGCGTGCGGGAGATGTGCGACGTTTGCGAGACAACGCTCTTCAATTTCCACTGGACCTGCGGCAAGTGCGGCTTCGTCGTATGTCTCGACTGTTATAAGGTACAACATTATTACTTAGTGTTATCACATATACACTAACATAACTCCAGATCTCCATATCAACATTTTGTATTTGAAATCTAAACTTATAATTAGACAATAATCATAGTGCTTGACTATCAGTAGCTCGCAAATTTGGTGTTAAGGATAGGTTGTACCCATACCTTTAAGAATTGTTTTTATTGTTACATTTCATATTGTATTATTTGTGTGCAGTCGCGAACATCCGGCGACTCGGGCAGCTCCAGCAGTAGTGAATCAAACAACTCAACAACTGCCACCACCAATGGAGAGAGAGATTCCTTCGGGTGAGTTTTATATTTGTTAATAATAACCATAGCAATCAAAGAATAAATATACAAGGATATAAATGTCATAGTTCGAATCTTTGTGTCATTTGTTAAATTTGTAATTCTAAACTTTGCACCCTCTTTTTATAATAGGACAACTGTTTGTCACAAAAATACATTAAAAAAGGACTAACTATTCGATGTTGACAGTTTGAACACCTTAAATTATACAGTACAAAATTTTAGTGATAACATATTTTAAGTAGTGTCTGTATAATGGAGTATTTGTAACAATAATGTAACATTCCAGTTGGCTAACGTGCACGTCCGGCGGAGCTCACCCGGCGCGGCGGCTGCTGCTGACGCAGATAGCGCCGGGCGGTGCGCTGGCGGCGGCGGCGAGGCGCGCGCACGACACCCGCGCCGCATTCTCCCTCCCGCCCTGCGCCTGCGGGCACAGCGCCACGCCGCGGCCGCACAAGCAGGCGCGCGCCAAGGTGCTGCTGCAACGCGCACTCGCCAAGGTAAGATTCATATTTTTTTATATGGGACCTAACCAAAGTCTGGGCTCTCATACTTTTTTACGCTTAGCTTCATTCTACGTTCACTATGGTTTTTTTTTTCGATAAAGAAAATAGACTTATATTGTTGATTAAGTCCATGTCTATACAAAACAGGGTTGACGTATTCTTTGAATGACTTTAGTATTTTTATCCACAGAATGTCAAAAAGGAAGAAGTAAAAGATGAAAATTCACCAAACGGTACGTCGCCGGTTAAATCAGAGAATGGAACCACCAACAGTTCAATATTCAGCTGGCTGTCAGATATCCCGGCCAAGACGGAGATTAAAGACGAGAAGTCTGACACCAGCTCCTCGGACTCTGAGGAGGGCGGCAACTTCTCCACGTTGAGAGAACTTCTAATACGACCGGCGCCCGAGGGAGGGGAAACTCAGCCTAAAAAGAAACAGAAGAAGAACAAAGGAGATTTGTTGGATGACGTCATATCTAGCGTTGTTGAAGTGAAGAAGGATGAAGATGGTGATGCGAAGCCGTTTGCGTTGTCGAATGTGGTGAAGCGGTACGAGCGCGGCGGGCGCGGGCGCGACGACCTGCCCATCCGCATCATGACGCTGACCGAGTCCAAGCTGCTGTATCCCGAGGTGCCGCACGCCTGGCTGTGCGACGGCAAGCTGCTGCACCTCACAGACCCCGCGCACCCCGGCAACTACAGACCCTTCCAGGTACACAAATACTGCAAGCTTACATGAACATAAAATCTTTCACTTTCTATCTATGTTAATTGGTTGTAGGAAGGCAGCAGTCGGACAGTCAGTTAAAAATTTGTGGAACATGACAATATACTCCCACCCGGGAGGGTGTACTCTCGGGTGGAAAATCAAAAAAAAAAAATTGGTTGTAGGAAATAAAGAAATTGGTCGTGTAATTCATTAGAAATGTTTTGGTACTATTGTTAAAGATAGAGTGTCTATCACGTATTTAGATGAATATTTTATTGTCACCAGGACCAATGGAAGCGCGGCCAACCAGTTCTAGTCTCAGATGTATCCAGTCTCCTAGATAAGGACCTGTGGAGTCCCGAGAGCTTCTCCCGCGACTTTGGCGACACGCGAGTGGACCTAGTCAACTGCGCCTCTGGCCTGGTCGTACCCAATCAGCCCGCGAGGAAATTTTGGGATGGATTCGAACTGGCCGCCAAGAGGCTGAGAGACGAACGAGGCGCCCCCATGGTGCTGAAGTTGAAAGACTGGCCGCCGGGCGAAGACTTTGCGGAACTATTGCCGGCGCGCTTCGACGACCTGATGCGCGTGTTGCCGCTCAGCGAGTACACCTCGCGCAACGGCAAGCTGAACCTCGCGGCGCGCCTGCCCGAGTGCTTCGTCCGCCCCGACCTCGGCCCCAAGATGTACACGGCGTACGGCGGCGCCGGCGGCACTACCAATCTACACCTCGACGTCAGCGACGCCGTCAACGTGATGGTGCACGCTAGCGCGCCCGCAGACGCGCCTGAGCGAGGCCGCGAGGCGGCGCGCGCGGCTGAGGACGCCGGCGTCGACGTGCTCTCGAGAAGGAGGGCGCGCGTCAAGCCGGCCGCTGCGTTGTGGCACATCTACGCCGCGAAGGACGCGGATAAAATCCGGGATTTCCTAGTCCGCGCGGAGCTGGAGCGCGGGGCGCGGCCGAGGCCTCAGCACGACCCCGTACACGACCAGACGTGGTACCTGGACGCGGCGCTGCGCGAGCGGCTGTACCGCGAGTACGGCGTGGAGGGGTACGCCATCGTGCAGTGCCCAGGCGACGCGGTGTTCGTGCCGGGGGGCGCGCCGCACCAGGTACGCAACCTGCTCGATTGCATCAAGGTGGCGGAGGACTTCGTCTCGCCGGAGAACGTGTCGCGCTGCTTCGAGCTGGCGCAGGAGTTCCGCCGGCTGTCGCGCAGCCACGCCAACAAGGAGGACAAGCTGCAGATAAAGAACATCGTGTACCACGCGGTGAAGGACTCCCTCTGCTGCCTGGAGGAGGCGCTCGAGGAGAAGTGAAGCCCCTCCCACGCCCTCCCTTCCCCGCCCCATTTGATCTCAACCTCGAACGTAACGTTAATCGCTAAGTTCCGCATTTAACTTAAGATTGCGCCGGCGCTGTCGGCGCGGCGCGGCGGTGTGTGTGCAATGTAAATTAGTCTGAATATGGTGATATCGTTGAGACGTGGATGTTTTTATGTTCCTTAAATGAATTACAAAAAGAACTTTTCAAAGTTTCAGCTTAATTGTAGTTAAATAGTGTATGTAATGTGTAAATTGACTAATTCGAATTCCATCGAGTACATATTAAGAAGTAACTTTTAAGTTATTGTATTGAAGTGAAAACGTATTCGCTCGAAGCATTGTACATTATTACGTGTAGATAAGTTTCTCCTATAATATTAGTTTTCTCAATTTGTTTGGTATGTTACAAACGGCATAGTTAAACGAGATGTGCGACAATTTTATTTTGTCCTTATTGCTGTATTAGACGAAAGCATGTTTTTTTGTACTGTGTATATTATGTACGGTTATAAGTTGGAATAAAAAAAGATGTTTATATTAGAAGTTGTTTTTATTTCCCTTCATATAAACATAAACGCTATATGGTAATAACTGCTTTTGAGCTCCCGATATTTCGACACTATATTTTAGGTTCACTGCCGTACCGAAGTATTGTGAGCTCAAACAATTTAATCGTAGAAAAATTCATTTTTTTTATAAACAGTATATCGTATAAACAGTGGTTTAATATGTACTTCTGTGTTATTTGTAGTTGTGGCTACATTACACTGATATTAACTAAAAGTACTGCTTTGATTACGCCATCTAGCGTCTAGTAGTTGCACTATTTTAATTATTTACCTTACAGACTTGGTTTGAATTGATCCATCTAGTAGTTGTATGCACCTGAACATATTAACAAATTTAGAACGCTAGATGGCAGACATTTATTAGATTTAGCCTATGTGGTCATATTAAATTACATATATTTTACTTACCAAGAATTTTCACTACCGAAACACCTGTTGAAATTGTATTTATCATCTTTGTTTTCTTTCTAACATGAGAATAGCTACGTTTGTACACAGGTATTTCGGTACTAAAAACCTATGATATTTACATACAGATGTCGCTGCGAAACGTTAGTTTTTGTTAAGCCATCTAGCGTGCAGTAGTTGCACTATTTTAGTACCAAGATTCATTAGCACAAAATCTAAGAACTAGTATTCGATAGCATGGATACATTTTGAAGAATGAAGTATGCGAAAGAAGTAAGTGAATTCAGATATGACTACTGATAAATATCTATGACATAATGTGTCGGCCCCCGTAAAGATAATGATGATGATCAGACCCGTTCTCAATGCTAGAAAGCAGAATATTAAATACATTCTATAGATGTCGTAAAACGTGATAAAATACAGACGAAGATTTCTATCCTATTTTGTTACACATTTGACGTATTGTTTTGTCTCAATTAGTTTCATCTACTCGACAATAGATGGCGCAATTTTTCTTACGAATCATTTTGGCATTAATAGTTTCATCTACTTAACGATAGATGGCGGGAACTGAGGCCTTTTCGTGATTTAATTTTTCTGATGTATCATTTTTACTTAAATATTTTAAACTGCTTAAAATTAGTTAGCAGAGAATGCTACCTTTTGAGATTAAAAAGTTCTTATAATTTTATTACTATAATAGTTTCATCTACTCAACGATAGATGGCGGCGACTACTACCTTACGACTCAGAAAACCAATGTACAGTACAGTAAGTTTCCAAGATTATAATAATTGTTTTTTTCTTTGTTTCTGGTATTTAATGTATAATAATTTGTTTTTGTAAAAGTGTTTTTGCAGTAGAATTTAAAACGATGTAGCCATGCGAGTGCGGCTTTTAGCTAGTACACATCAATTTAATTTACTGACTACGAAAAATATTTGATATCATATTTTTCCCTTTGTGTTGTTTCCATTCAGAAATGATACAAAAGAAACATCATAAAATACATCTAACAATAGCTTCAGATTTTTTAATATATTGTATTCTTGTATTATATATTTTTACATATACATATTTAGTAAAAATAATAAAAAAAGATTATTTACTAAATTACTTTTTTTAATAGTATGGACATTGTAAAAAAGTCCTAAAACATTTTAAATATTTAAGGAAGACATGAAATTTGTTGAAAAATATCTTATATCACATTAACAATGCATACATATGTACACAAAATTTTTTTTAATATCTCTACTTGTAAATAAGTTAACAAGGTAACAACAATTATAAAATATATGAAATTGGTTTCCTCTTTATTTTTACACAGATTTTCCTTATACATTAATTAAGAACCCGGTGGCCTGTTTGTTGGTCCTTGCCTTTGTATTATAAATATTCTTTGTCTTTATATTTTCAAGATGAGATAACACAATTTCATACCTTAGAGCGGACTTTTACTTTGTTTGAGTTGAGAATTACAAATTGTCTTGAAGCTCAAGTTGTAAACTATGTCGTCCTAAATTTCACCTTTTTGTCAATCATCCCGAGTTTCCTCTGGGAAAATATTAATACACAAACATATTTAGTTTATAGCAGTTTTATTAAGGGGGAATGAAAGTCATAAATTAATAAATCTTCATTGACCCACAAAATTTTTATAATTTGTTAGGACATGATCTAGTGTCTTTTCTTAGCCTTACATGGGCTCTTATGTATTATGCGATTACGATATTATTACGACCGTTTTTTTATTACATTGTTAGAAACCTTGATTGTTTTGTTACACTTCGTTTGATATATTTAAACATGACAAACATAATATATATAAGTTTTGCAGTAACTTTAATTTAACAAATGGATTTAACGACAAAATGGCGGCGCCACGGACGACAGCTGTTCCCTTGCATACATGACATTGATTGAAGACTAGAAATGTTTAGATTGATATGAAGCTATCAATTTAATCTATTTTGATAATTGGAGGGGTAGTTTTCCTAGCAAAAGGTGGCAAATGAGCAATTTGCCATAACAGCGAAGTGACCGTTGCCCATAGACATCCGCATTTATAATTGCGTTGCCTATCTCATCTTATATAAACATAAATAATAAATATTCATCTACGAAATATGCTGATACAAAGAATTTAAAAATATTTATATCGCACTTTGCATCATTCCAGTAGAGGCTGTATCGAGGCGGACGTTTTTCTCTCAAGTTGCTGTTCTCTCAAGTTTTGACCCAGTTATAACTTTTCGATTATTCCGCTGAATATTGAAGTTTATAAATTTTAAATTAAAGACGTTCATCATATAAAAGTATAAGAATAATTTATATTTTGTTACAATTCCAATATAAAGCTTAAACATTTGAATTAACCTATAACAATAAACTATTCCAAAATAATTCCGGTAAAACAATTTTTTTTACAAAACATTAGCTACTTTAAATTTATAATAACTACACTTTGTTACACAATTTTCACAAAAATAGCTGAAAAAATAAAATGTGCAGTTGCCGCCATGCATGGAATTTATGATTCATTATTCATCATCAACCTGCCTTTATCCCTACTGAGGGTCCTCCATACATCTCTATCAGCCGTCATATTCGAATCTACCTCCTTCCTACACATATCCTTTTTCACACAGTCATTCCATACTTTTTTTGGTCTTCCTCTACCTTTGTAGCCATCCACATTCAAACTAATTACTTTTTTGCTTACATCATCATCATCCCTCCGCATGAAAGTGTCCAAACCACGCTAATATTTTACATACAATTGATGATTCATTATTAATATTAGGATATTCAAATGAAACAAAGAAATATTCGCGTACTGAAAAGGATTTTTGTATGACAAAATAAAGTAAAAAGCGACCTTATAAAATATTGGACAAAGTATTCGTAGGGAATCCATTACAAGATTAAAAATTCTCTCTTCAGTGGTCTGTTTTCACAGTAAAAGTTTAATGTCCGAGAAAAATTTTCTTATATTTAATTTTTGAAACATACTTTATACTAGTACGCAGAGAATTACTTGCAATATAATTTGCATAAATCATGTTTACAAGACAAAAAAATTACAAATATACAAAACTCTGTCCCACGACTCTGTCTGCGTGAATATATAAAAAACTTAATATATAGATAAGTTAAATAAAAAGCAGCCCTTCAAGGCATAAAATCGATAAAAAAAAATGAATAAAAAGTATCCTTTGTCCGTCTCCTGGCTCTAAGCTATCTCCTCACCAATTTTCAGCCATATCGGTAAAAGCGTTCTTGAGTTATAAAAAGTGTAACTAACACGACTTTCTTTTATATACATATATAGCTGTAATGTCTATAATATTCCAAAACATTTCTGTAAAGAAAATTGTTCAAGATCATATTACGAAATTTGATGAAAGTTGAGACAAGCTAGAATTTGAATATAATCAAAAGCTTTTGTGGGCGAATTGTTTAATTATAAATTAAATTTGTGAATTTCGGTAATTTGGCCGTATTCCAAGCGGCGAGCGCACCTGATGAAATCAGCGGTTGTATGACCTTAACCTATATATAATATATCTTTCAATAGAGCTACAACATTTTAGAATATACTAGCTGTCATCCGTGACTCCGTCCGCGTGGAAATATAAACAAAACTTAATTAGTGTAGCCTATGTGTTCTTTCAGACTCTGTTCTATACGTATGCCAAATTTAATCGAGATCCGTTCAGCTGTTCTAGAGATATCTTCAAACACCCATCTATCAATCCACATCACATCCATCTAAACATTCGCATTTATAATATTAGCAAGTTAAATAAAAAGCAGCTCTTCAAGGCATAAATTCGAAAAAAATAAATAAATAGTATCCTATGTCCGTCTCCTGGCTCTAAGCTAACCCCTCACCATTTTCAGCCATATCGAAAAAGCCATTAGAGTTGTAAATAGTGCAACTAACACGGCTTTCTTTTATATATATAGATTTGGATTACATAAAGTAGCCTTTAAAATTTAGTCTTTAACATGAACTTTGGTGACTCAGATTTTTATGCATATAGATACTTACATAGGCATGCCTCAAAGATCCCTCTGGTCACTTAAGTTGTAACGGAATAATATTTAAAAGCTTTTATGTTAAAGAATAATTAAAATAAACTTTTGTAGATCATAATATTACCTATTATTTTGTTACCCTTTCTTCACTGTATTCCTCAAAAGTCATCGAGAAAAGCCGGGCTTTCGTTCCGAATTTTTTCAACTCTACCACTCGGTTGTAATAAGTAACTTTGTAGGACGTTGTTTTATTGTAACATTAAGTATTGGAGAAACTGACTGAAACTGAATATAAAATAGCTTCGTCTATTTTCTTTAGCAACGAGTCACTTCAGAGATTTGTTCTGCAAACGACGGTCTCTACACTAATTGGCTTTGCTTTTTAAAGATTTAAGATTTCCTTACATTTTTACAAATCTTTTTTTTATTTAATAAGAGTTTTCATTGCTAAAAAAGTATAAATACACTGCACTCAAAATAAAAACCATTTTTACTGGTTAAGTTCACAATCTCATTTCAAACTGTTTCTAAAACATTGTCATATTTTTATACTTAGTTTCTTATCCGTCAATTACTCTTTATTGAATTTACGTTCACTCATATATAATATAGTCTGGGAGTCTTAGAATCTGTCTTTTAAAATCACGAAAATTCTATGCAACATAATATCTTTCTTTCGGTTAATGAATAAATGACCTTGACCTGGAAAACTCTTGATGCATTGCAGCCTGTGAATTACTTCGTACCTGTACATGTAACGCTGTGTAAAGGCTTGAAAGCTGTTAAGTAATTAACCGAATGCACATCGCGGTTTCTAAAAAGTTCTGCACCTTAGGGAATACGTTTGTAACTTTTATCCATGAAAATAATAGTTTAATTTTTGAACGTTCTCATAGCATATTATGCATGCGAAATAGAATAAATAGCATATTTATGCATGCAAAGTCTCATATATGCGATGGAGTCGGCGTTCAATAATTCGATTTATTAGCTTGAAAATTTATTTATTTCAAGAACATTATACTTATATTTTACGTTAAAAGTAAAAAATTCGTATATTTATGACTAAGCCCCGACACTGTCATATTGTGAGTCGAAAAATTTGCGTAGTATCTCAAGTATGTTTTAGATTTATTTTTACCAAAGCAAATTCGCGTCTAATAATTTGAAGCAATTAATTAAACGATTTCCGTACACCGAATGAGGTCGACGAGGCAAAGCCCATACGTTATGCAAACACCTAAGTCAGACCTGATTTATTATTTAGGTCGACTTCACGTCTCTCGTAAAATATATTTTGAACCCATCGATATCCAATTTATTGGAGACGAAGTTACATGCACGTAAAATGGAAAACTAGATATTAGCTAATTCAAAAATGTTGTTTGCCTTGCATTTAGTTCTTCCTTTTATTTTCTAAACTAACATCATATTATGTTACGGTCCAAAAAATTAACTCACATTTTGCTCTTTGTGTTTGATTCTTTTGAATAAAATACAGTTGAAAACATATAAATCAGTAGTCTTTTCTATATCACGTACTTAATTTCTAATTTACCTATTAAGTAAATAAATCCACATAAAATTACGCGTTTAAATTATTCGTTTATACATTTTTTACATTCGAACAAACTCTATTTCGGATACTAAAATTGCTCTAAATATATTCCTTTTTTGCTCACATGTTTAATCGAAAATCATCTATCAAAGCCAACAACAGATAATAAATGGCACTTTTTAGAACGCTTCTCTCTCAACACAAACAATTTTTATAGTAATCTAATATACATTCTTGCGACTTTTATGCATTCTTGAATATTTGCCTACTAAATACTAAACTGGTTAATTTTTACAATAATGCGGTTTAGCACAATAGCTATCGAGGTTAAGCATCGTACGCGCTGTCGTGTATCAGATTAGTGACCGGTTAAGCGTCGTTCAACGTGCATTGTAAAACAGGTTAAGCCTTTATTATCCCATGTAGCTACGGTTAATTCAACTACATTACGTTATTGAAACAATGTATAATCAAGTACATTTACAGGCTGATAATTCAATAATAGAATAAGCCATACATGAAATCCCTGACGGTCAAGGGCCACCTTTCAAGTATCTTGGCGGTCCAAGGTCATCGGCGTGCTGCGAATCCACACATGCGAAGTTTAGAGTCGCCAAGTTATCTGAAACGTATTATAATTGTAAGTATTTGCGTTTTGTTTTGCCTTCCTGTATCCTAAATCACTAAAGCGATGTTGCAGATATTCATCTGATTGTATTCAAGTTGCTTTTTTAATTAATAACTGAATTCATGCAGATTATTCAGTTAGTTGTAAGATATTAAGAACAAAAAAATGATACCAATATCAAAGCAAATTAAAAATAAATTCAGCTTATTTTTGAAGTAAAACGTAATTATTTAATAATTAGTATAACGTAATATAAATGTTTCTTTTACCTTTTGTTGATTCGACTTCAAACGTTTTAAGACATAAAAACATCAAAGCGTAAAAGCTTGCGGAAATTGCTTGGGAAATAGGAAACATGAAGTGTACACTAATATACACAGGAGAGTAACGTCATTTTTTTATATACACATATTCCTGATCTGTGGGTCATGAAAACATTCTTAATAACTTTTCATTCTCTTTTAGCAATGTTAATTAGCTTGTTTACTAGATGAACAATTCGGATGAAATTGATTTTCTAATATAAGTTTAAAAAAAAATAGTAGAATAGTATAATTTAGAAGAACTGAAATTTTCACGATACGAATTTGGGTCAGCAAAGAGAGTCAGTTGTGCATATATCTGAAATGAATAAAAGTACTTTAGCGGTTTAAAAGAGCATACATACATGTTTTTACCATGCATTTTACCATCTTTTGTGTTGTTACTGCAGCTCTTAATATGCTTTAATTTACAGCTATTTTACTGAAATATACTCTTTGAATATGTAACTAAAGCTTTTAACTTATTTAAATGGTGACATGTGATGTAAATTTAGTTTTTTAGGTATCGACGTATTTTAGTTTCATTGTGACTTCCTCTTAACTATACGGCCTTTTTTTGTTTGGGAGAGAGTTTCAAGAAAGATAACTTACTAAAAATCGTCTATCAAAATAGAATATGCCTTGCACATGGGTGGATTGACGAAACGATTTGTCGTACAATTCGCATTCCTTAGAGTATCAAATTAAAGCAATGATAAAAACCTGGTTGGATCTCCAAAATAAATCTTAAATAATAACCCGTTAAAGTTATTTATATCTTAATTATGAAATAATTAAGTAGGCAAATAAAAATGACATGTAGAGTTAATTAGTCCCAGCGCTCATGATGACGCGGTATATTAATCCGCTCCACCGCAGAATGAATTGTACCGCAACTAGCGCCGTCTGGCGGCTTTGAATATGACATTGTCATTTACGTAAACGCTCTTTGTATTTAATTGAACGCATTATTTAAATACGAAGATTAAATATAAAAATATGTTTAAATATGCGTGACAAGAAATGCTAAGGATATATATTTATATGTTTATGAAAACGGACGGCTATGAAGCTGTAATACTATTGTAAATATAGTTAATATTACTTTCATCGTGTTGTTTAAAAATATGTTTTCATTCGATACTCCTAACGATTACAATATATATTGCAGTTTGGGTCAGAGAAAATTCTAGAATAATTTGACTATATCGAATAAAAAAGTGTCTTATCCCTGTTATTATAACAATTACGTTTGCATTTAATTTCATCTGACATCTCTACATGCTCGACTGGGCAACATAACTAAATGGAGCGTTGTATTGTACAATATTACAGCCCTTTGTGCCCTTAGTTATCATTCTCCGTTTACAAGATGCACGTGTCGTGTTCCCTCATCCGCAGCTGTGTAGGACTTAATTATAGTTACACTGACACAACCCTCTGGGCAAGCAAGATAATGGATAAAACTGTACAATGGTTCTACCCTGATTATGACTTTATCTTGTTGATGAAGGAATTAATCTCTATTGTTTATTTAATTACTTAATTCTAATGAGATAAAGATGAAGAATAAAAGTTTTAGTTTTTCTCGTCTATACACACATCTATAATACCCGTAATATTCTAAATATTTATTTTGAAAATATTAATATTGATTCTCTATAAATTCTCTATTATATGTATATAAGCTGAGAGACTGTTAGACTCATTAATCATGCTATTAAACAAAGCATAAGTTGGTAAACTTGTATAACAAGGTCGCACTTATAAGCTTTCACAAGCCACAGTACCCTAAACAAGGTACAAACTCTAACGTAGCAATTTGGGTAAAATTAGTAATTTACTTTTTTATTCGCCAACTTCAAAAAGAAGGAGGTTATGTAATCTTCCGTATGTTTTTTTGTATTAATTAATCGTAATTATTTATTAAGTAAGTATATAAAGACTAAGAAGCTGTTCCTTTTGATATCACCACATACTAAATTACGTAATGAACTGGACCGCTATAGAATGATACATTTACACTACATTTTACGTACATTACATTTTACACTATATCACTATATATATACAACACGACCGAGTGACCTTTCAACAATTTCAGGTCGGGAATATGTTCCCTTGAATATTATGACATTAATAATAATGACAAAATTGTGTAATTTTTTGACAGCGCCATCTAGTGTTTTTAAGAATCAAACAACACTTTTAATATTTATAATGATAACTATTATTATAAATTTAGTTTCGTGTAATATAATATTTATAAGCAAATATTTATGTCTTATAGTTCTTCCTGGGAACTATAAAGTAGGTAAATAAAAACGTCATTTGAGTTTATGAAATGATTATAAAGAATTAGAAAAAAATGAACTTAAAAACAATTCAAAAAACTAACAATAGCACTGATAGAAAATGTGATGCGTAAAACATACAATAACAGTATAAAAGAATATAAGCGTTTTATTTGCAAAACATAATAGCGATGCGTTATTAATTAATTAATAGCAATCGAGCTGAGTGCAGCTACATTGCGCGATAAGCCGTGACCTTTGTATCCGAGGTCTCAATATAAAAATATAAATCATTTTGATATTTGCATTACATTTAAGTTATGTTATATTCATTTTAGAATGTTTTAGTAGTAAGTAAGCTATTTTACCGCGGAAACGGTTAAAAAATTTATTTCTTCTAAAATACTTGGTATTCGGATTGCGAGTAAGCCATTGAACGAAAAAACACTTGAAAACTTTATTACGGAAACTATGATAGTCCTATAGCCCCTTCAAAGATTTTATGAATGAAATTGACGTAAAGATGGAAAAACATTCGTCAAAGTTCATTGTCAAAATTACTTTTCATTGTATAATTCAAATGTAAATTTTATTCAAATTTAAAACAATTTCATCAAATAAAACAGGTTGAGCCACAGGTAAAACTAACATCTAAAATTGAGACGAAAGGGTTTTTTTTTCATTTGTGTCTGCGCTCCGTGTGCTGTAGGACAAAGGAGTATTATTAAAAACCCAGTGGAGTGGAAACTAGAATGGCACCCAGAGTTAGCGCTTGTACGCTTATCTATTATACTATGTACATTACACTACAACATTAAATTGTCCATACATTTGGCATACCTATTGTCACGTGCCAATTAAAAATGTGTGTATTTAAAATATTAGGTCGACAATTCAATAGATATGTGTCTAGTAAAATCGATTAAGAATTTTTTTGATTTTCGATAATTGTTCTCATAAAACTTCCAATCGAAAATATCGTTATTATTGTTTTTAAAGTTATTCAGAATAAAGTACATAAAGAAATAAAACATTAAACTAAAAATTGTGGTGCTGACCGACAAAAAAGAAATTGTAGGATACATAGTCAAATAATTGTTGTAGTAAATTCAAAAATTTATAAAAACCTAAATAATTGTACTCATTTGTTCTATTAATTTTATTACAAGATCGATAGACCGTAGTTCACAATTTTTCGTTTCGCGCGACGGTCGACACTATAACAACCGTCCATTAAGCACAACATTAATCCTCATACAAAATTTGTTTGACACCGCATAGGCGACAGTTGTGAAACTAATCTATCTTAAATAGACACACTATGAGTCGTTTATTTTTTCCATACTGTGTTTTCTGACGATGGCGCGTGGTTATCAAAGTTATCAACTATTGAGACTCCTTTTTATGGAGAATGTGAGGATCTGATATGACCGAAAGATAGTACGGGCCAATTATTGTTATACAGGTGTTATAAAATTGGAACTAACATCTTGTGGTACTCGTTGCAGGTTAAGACCTCTCTGACGAAGCAGCAAAGTCTGGCGCTCGCACGGATCGATTTGCGTTAAGAGCAGAATATTAAGCCCCGTCACGTACTCATCTTTCATAGCAGACAAGCGGCTTGTACGTCTCTGCTGAAACATATATACAATATTTTTTTAATCACAAACGAGCTTTTATAAAATCACTAGCTGTAGCCTGCGATTCCGTCCGCTCGGACTTAAAAATACTTAATTAGTAGCCTTTGTGCTTTTCCAGACTATGTTCTACATATATTTATTAATATTTACATAATTATATTTAAGTAGGTACGAAGTATAATATGATAATTATATTTTTAGTTGGTAAACAGATACAAAATTAAATAAAGCAACTACTTGGTAAAATACCATAAAAGTTCAGCTAAAAGTGAACATAAAATTGCTGAAAATACATCAATATGTTTCTTCGCCTTGTTTTTAAATAAAATAAAAATACTCATGAATCTGAATTAAGAAATTATGAAAATTTGTTAAAAAATTACAGACAAATAAAAATTTTAATGCACCAAACACCAGATTCGACATAGACTCGTGTGAACATATTATAGCAGTATACTTATTTTCCAAAGCACATAATAAAATTAAAAATTCAAGGATTTCTCTTAACATTTGCACGTGTGATTTTTATGACGTATCCATTTTTGCTTAGATCAAAATAAATACATCGGGTGAAGCGTTAACTAGGTCGAGAGACAACTAATATTCAGCTGATATTGCCACTTCTATTCGTATTGTCGTGGGAGCGAACTTTGCCGATTTAATATCTCTGAATTGACAACAAAATGCAAGTTTCTGTATGACTAATGCTACTTTATTAACCAACTTATGTTCAAGTTAACTAAACTTAGATTCATAAGATTGTATAATAAGTTAACGCTTAAGTTTAGGTATAGTAAAGTAGCATTTTATAGTACCGACTTAAAAGATTTTTTTACGATTAGCTAAAATTCTATAAAAGATAAAACGAAAGAAAAGATAATTATAACGGAATATTTTAAACTTTCAGATAATGTATTTTTTTTCTTTTGCTAACATTGGAAAAATATTAAATTAGGTGCAAAAATACATTTCATTTATACACAAAATTACTTATCAAAGTTCGCAAACTTTTACAATATTAAAGTCAAAGTGCAA